AAATGAGTATTTCACTACAGCAGTCTCGCGCACAGAGCGCGAGTTCAGGTCGAAACTAATGTCGAGCTGACATCGAGGCGCAGAAACTGGTGACAACGCTGGTATCGATGCTGGCCCCTCGAGGTTGGTGTGTCGAAATTGTTCTGTAGAAGCTGCTGTGTCGAGGCTACTATGTCGAGGCTGTTGTGCCGAAGCTGCTGTGTCGGAAATTGCTCTGGCGGAAGCTGTTTTGGCAGAGACTGTTGTGGCGGGGCTGCGCACAATTTGTCGCGGGTAACCGGCTCGTACGTTCGGAAGAGACGCGAAGTGAATTTGTTGAGGAGACGTTCGGAAGAGACGCGAAGTGAATTTGTTGAGGAGAAGGAGGAGCGCGATGAAAGCTATTTACCCCATTCCTGAGTAATGATATCAGATACACATTAGATAATATTTGGTAACAGGGGAAGTAATTGAAAAAGTGGCCGGCCCACGGACAAGGTCCATCGGCCGAAATAAAATAAATTTACACCGTGGGAACAGTCACTTTATTCTCATTTCTTTTTTTTTCGCGATTCGCCGTGGCATGTGTTTTAATGCGTTTTTGGCAACTGTACAATGCAGAAAACGCATACTGACGCAGGGTTGCCTGTGTGTGTATGTGTGTCGGTGCCTTTATCTGCACCGATTATTATCTCCAGGCCTACAAAAGCTATAGGACCGGAACTTTGGAAGCATAATCTATATGTATGTACTGACTGCAACTCCCAAAACGTACGCTCTTACCAGCGTGGTAATCACGTGCGGGTTCGCCAAATTTTTTTACGGGCAAGCTGCTAACTGGAGAACCAGAGAAATTGGAAGGCTGTAATTTTAAGGAAACTTTCTCCGTCCAAGCAGAATTTGATGAGCTCAAACCCAGCTTCCAGGTACGACTGGTTCCCACGACGGGCCTGTGAAATTTTTTTTTCAGGTAAATTCCTAATGTGGGGATCTGAAAAGCTAAAAAATTGGAATTTTAAAGGGATGTTTCCTGATAGTCTTTTCGGCTAGTCTCAGTTAGCTAGAAGCATCTGCCAGAAAAAACAGTGCCGTTAGCAACAAAAACCTGCAGGGAAGTATGCAAAAAACGTACCTTAGCAAAGCAGTCGGTGCGTTGGCCATTTATTTGTTTTTCAAATCTTTTTTTTTTT